CTTAAAGCAGTATTTGTTGTGAGGTGCTGTGGCAAGGGGTCTAACTCTATCTTTCTTCTAAAGGTTTGACTGCTATGGTGGACTGTCCAAGATAAACACTCCCTTGTTGACACCTCTCAAACTGTCACTAGAAGAATGGAGCACAAAGCCGACCAATGACACCTACGGATTATTTGCAGTGGTAATGCACAGCGGCATTACAATTAGCAGTGGACACTACACAGCTTCTGTCAAAATTACAGACCTCAATAGCCTGGAATTGGATAAGGGGAACTTCATCACTGACCAAATGTACGAAATGATTAAACCGGAACCACTGAATGAGGAGGAGGCAAGAACTGTCGCTGAAGATTACGACGATGGTGAAGTCTCGTTTCGAGTCAATGGAAACGCACAGCCAGGTAAAGTTCTGAACAAAAAGAACATGGAAGCTGTCGGACTTCTTGGGGGGCAGAAGAGCAAGTCTGACTGCGACCTGTACAACAACAAACCCGCTAACCCTGAGAAGTTTCTTAACGTAGTTACTGAAAACAGAAATCCCGAGTCTAGCAGTACTAACGGGAGCGCGGAGTGCAGCGCCGAACACCGCGAGCAAAATGGTGTCGCTTCCAGTGGACTAGAAAACAAAGCTCTGTACGTACTGCAGAGCCTGAAAGAGTATGAAGGCAAGTGGTTGCTTTTTGATGATTCTGAAGTGAAGGTTACAGAAGAAAAGGACTTCCTGAATTCTCTTTCTCCCACATCGTCGTCTACATCGACTCCTTACCTACTGTTTTATAAGAAAATTGTAGAGTGATACTGTATTTTGACTGTAAATATTAGGGATTTGCATACACCTATTAGTCTGATTTGCATCAAAACTACCTGGAAGAAGCAGCTGTTTGTTTTTGAAGCTACTGGATCATAATGTTTCTGGTCTTTTTGTTCGGTGTAAGTGGCTCAACTTGAATTAACAAACCATGACATAGAACTTAACTCCCATCATAACTTTTATGCTGGAGAACAGTGATATTACCTTTTAGAAATACCAATTTGTATAGTTCCTAAATGATGCCTACAGCACATGGTAGTGGTTTTAACACAATTCTAGGTCTCGGACATGCCTATTGTATTAGCGCTTTTTTTTTTAATAAAAGTTATTTGTATTCATATTCTGGAGTACATGTATATTAACTAGCAAATTTCATCAGAAGTTGTGTATTTTTGTAACTCGGGAAGTAATACTTCATATTTAGTCTTTGGGGTAAGCGCGTGGTTTATTGATGACATTCTCCTTATCCAGTTCTATACTGCTCGGTGCAACTCGAAGCACAAAAAAAGGGTTTTGTAACCTTGTTTAGCATATTGGAAGTAACTGAACTTAACAGAAATGTTTGAATGGTCTAATTTCCATCTTGTTGCATAGGTGTTAAATGGGCAAAGTGTAAATAGGTGTGATTAATACTTCAAAACAGGGGGGAGCATGTAGTGTAATTAAAATAATTTTGTACTTTTAAGAATAAAGCCCTCTAATATGCATATCTGTTTGGGTGGATTTGGAACTTAGCGGTGATCTTATAACAGTTAATTTGTACTTGGAGCTCACTGAAATGTGGGAAAATGAAAGCATTTGGCTTGATGCTTTGTTAAGAATGTATATATGAAATAAAAAAAAATTATGATATGCAGCTGAGATGACTAGATCAGACTTTTGTGTTTGGAGAGGGAAAAAGAGGAAAGTGAAAGTGGTTGGGCACTGTTACAAAAAGATTGGGAAAGTATGTATCTTGGAGAAATGGAAGATTTAAAGTCCTTTAAAAAATAACATTCTCTGGTTTTTAACTGATTCTTGTATGGCGCATCCTAAGTTGAAGGGACTTGATGACTACAGGCAAGGGGAAAGGGAAACTAAGATTACTGTAAAAACAAGTGGAACGGTTAGCACTAAATACCAGATACTAAAATCTCAAATCATCTATTAGATGCTTACATGTTCAGGTGAATCCTATAAACTGCAGACAATTAAAATCTTTAAAATATGACACAAAATAGGATGAGTGTTACTTCTGGATGGATGGAATGACACGAAGCGCTGCTGCAGAGAGAGACGACGAAAAGATACACAAGATGTGAGTATGCCCTAGTTTCCTGGATAGATTTACACTTTTTCAAATACAATTTCATTTATTTAGAGGAAAAGCCCTAGAAACCTCTATCTAGTTTATTCTGCAACACTTAAATTTTTTACAATCTTTTATTACGTAGCATAAACACTGAGGTAACGCGTGAAAAATATCTTTAGTGTTTTCCATGTTATGGTGAACCTCTGATTTTTGTACAGGCCTTGATTTCTGCAGTATATCCTAGATGATGATGATGTATTACTAAAATATGGTTCAGTCTAGAAAGCTTATTCAAGAAATATTCTCAATCGAAAACAATAGTTTTCAATAGAAACCAGTCTAAAAAAGGCTGGACTAAATTTAGCTGCTTATAAACTCATGCTGAATAGATGTCTCTAGTAATTATCTTGTACAGAAGAGAAAAATCTGGAATTACCCTTCCCTTTTCCAAAGCCCTTTCACCATAATAAATTACATGAAAAAAATCACCAAAAAAATAACTGTAACCTTACCTTGCAAGGGTAGCCAAGTCACATTACCGAATGCTATTTTATTCCTGTCTGCAGTATGGGGTTTGCTGAATTTCAGCCGGCAAAAGAAAGTTTCTTTTTCCACCCTTGACCCAGGACTTATCTTTTTCATTTAACTGCAGGAACAGGAAATGTTCCAAGGAAACAAAATACCATTATATTCAACAAAATATTTGCTACAGTGTAATGGGAGGAAGACCCAGCTGTCTTCCATCATGCCACACAGCTGGAGAGAAACGTTCTTTGTAGACAACTGAACAGAAACCACAAATGGGCCGGAATACGCTGAATGAAAAAACCCTCCTCTGGCATGGGGGTGGGTGTATGGGGCGGGGGTTTTGGAGACTTACTCAAATAAAGCACTTGCCACCCTTCCTCACCGAGTCACTTCCCGCAGTAACTGGTGGCCTGTGTTGCGTATGGCCTGGAGTTTGCCGCAACGGCAAACAAAACGTGGCTGCTCCAATCTGAGCTTTCCATCACACCTCACTTGAGTTCTACACAACCGTCGAGCTATATGTACTGATAAGCCGGTCAGATTTACGCTGACATGGGGCCATCTAGTAAAATCGAAGGATATTTATACAAGATTTGGATTTTAAAAGATGCTTTCCTAGCCAAAGAAACAATACACAAGGACTACGGTAAATTAAGGTTTCATTCTTTCATGGCTGTTGGGATTTGTTTCCCCTTTTTCACTTTGTACATATTTTGCATGCCTCTTCATATAAATCTCTCGCAAAGCTACCCCCTCCTTCCTTAATATTTTCCATTATCAGAGTCCCTGGCTCCCATACAGCTTCCAAAACCTCATCGACATCCCTGAGCTTTGCAGTTGGCCTTTGAAATGTCTCAGAGGGAAAAAAAAAAAAAAAAAGGCTTAGGTTAGAGGAGTAGTTTTTCTTTATGCAAGAAATTCCATGCAGGCTTTCCCATGTTATAAACCCCAACACAGAACTAGTTCAGGATCACTCCCGTTCAAGGGAAACTGGTCAGAGACCCGCACCCTGGGAAGAGCACTGCACTTGCGCTACCACAAAGCACCGCCGCTGTGAAGCTGTTGGAATAACAGCGTGTGGCAGAAGGAGCAAAAACTGGCAGTACCGTTCTCCCTTCCCCAACACACTCCTTGACCGCAGCCAGCGTGCCCCTGCGGCGCCATCCCGCTGGACGTCATCCCGCTGGGTACCATCCCGCTGGGTACCATCCCGCCGGGGCTGACCATGCGCCTACAGCCCACGGTGGCTCCCAGACATGGTCCTTTCCAGCCCGGCTCCACAGCAAGCGTACACTCACCCTGCTACACGCCCGCTCACAGGCAGCCACTAGTAAATTGAAATAAGTATGGAGGACAAAAAAGACGCTCCCCACCCTAAACCCTCCCTGCTGATGCAGAAGGATGGGCACTTGCTGCAGCTACAGGTGCTAAAACGGGGGGGAACACCCCAAAGAAACACCCCCCAGCACTTTGTAACATACCAGGAATGTGTATGTTCGAAGCGAAGGTAAAAACTATTTAGGTTTCAAACGTCAAATGCTCACAAATGGGAAGTGACGATGAATAGTCGTCTGCTATCTTAAAAGCTCATGTAGAAAACCAATCTTTTTTCTTATATTTTTATATATACGAAAAGGTTCGTTTATCAAATTTGGTTTTTTATATATATACATGTATATATGCATATGTATGCTTATTTAGGTATTTATAGAGAGTAAGCTTATGTTTAAACACATACCACCTCTTCCAAGGGACTTGTTCAATACAGAGAGGGAAAATGTAAAGGACTAGATTTGAGTTCTGTACTCAGCTCCAATTCTGATGTTTCCTTGACGTGCTGCGTTAGCCACCAAAATAACTGCTGTAAAACAGATGTTTTTCTTAACATAAATAACAATGCAAAGAATGCTTTCTTTGTAAGCTTTAAACTGCGATATCATTTTATGTTCTTTTTCCCCGTGAAATTAGTTTTTAAATTGAAAAAGGAACACAAAAAAGCATCTGGTCGCAGGTATAGTGCTCTGCTGAACTGCACATTGAAAGGTCTGATGAGATTACAGTGTTGTTCGGACTTCCTAGCTGGTGGAAACGACCGCGCGCACACAGCAGTCACGCTGAAGCTCCCCTTCACGGGTACCGAAGGAGGTAAAGTGGTAACAAGATGTGCCTCGATTCTTCTGATGGCTACAGATGGCATTATTTTTCTTTGTAGCAATTCGTATTCAGAGTTACAAAGGAAAAAAGGATAGGGGTAGTAAAAAAAAAATTAAAAAAAATCACCACTTGGTTAAGAAATGTTACTGTAAGACTTACCTTACTCCGAACCTTTTTCCCAAGGATGGGGAGCTCTGAAGTCCAACGCACAGGGAGTTAAAGTGTAAACATTCACATATTTAATAGTACCATCAAAATAACCATCATCACTACATTAAAAACTTCAAAAATGCATTTGCGTATGGTCCTAATATAAATTAAATATATGAACTAGAAGTAAATAAATTTAACATTAGGTAATACTATAAATAAAGGTAAATGCGTTTAGTGTACCTTTGAGTCATAAAAATGCCTTAAAAAACAGGTAAGTTTACAGCTTATCACCAATACTCTGGATACCACTGCCATGATTTTTTTCAAACATTGATAAGTCTACATTTGACAATTCAGAATGATTTTTGGCCACTGAACACTTTGATGGAGGAAGAGGTGTGTGGGATGTCCAGGATGAAGTCCAAGTTTTATTTCACAATAAAACTTCTTTGATTCCCAGCGCTGATAACAAGGCTCTTTCGTTTCAAAACCTTAATTTTAAGTGCTTTTTTATTTGGGTTTTTAACTCGTTTAGATATCCATTTTGCGAAGGCTCATCCTGCCGAAGGAGTCTCTGAGGGAGAGAAAATACAATGATGAGCTCATATTTTCCATGATGAAATAAGAAGCCTCGTCAGATGAATGATTCTGTACTTCACTTCCACTATTTTCTACAGCCGCCTACTACAAAAATTAAGTCCACTGACATTAACTCACTGCTTTTCAAATGAATTGGGTTTGGGTCTGTATCTGGGACCGTTCAACTGCCCGAGGTTTCCTGACGTGAAAGCTGACAGAAAGTTTACTTCATGTGTATGTCGAGAAGGAATACAAACCACCTGCACTACTGAAATCTTATTTAAGTCTTTCAAATAAATTTTTAAGTGGAATTTGCCTGGAATACCTGCACTAGACTCCACGCACAGGCTGAATTTCTCAAGATTAGAAAATAATTACCACGACCGTGCTTGTGAGGTTCCCACCCGGGCGGGGAGGGAAGCACTGGTACTCCCACCATCCCCAGCCAGTGAAAACTGCTGCAGAGAACAGCCAGCTCACGGTACGTAGGCTGGGGAGAGCTTCAAACGTCACCAACCTGAGTAGCAAGGCAAGGGCACCTTTCTGCAGTATTCAGCAGACAGAAAAGTACATCTAATTCAGCTACAGAAACATCGCTAAGCGCTGCCGTGTGAGCTGGGAACACTCGTTTCCTTCTTCATCCAGCACTAAGTCTTGCCCTTTTTACAATGTAATTTTGCCAAGTTTCTCTTTTTACAACATTTTTTACGTTCCCCATCGCTCTTTACCTCTGAACAACACTAGATGAGCAGAGGTTCAAAGCTAGGGCTGTATTCTCCTAAACCAACGCATGGACATGAGCTGAAGTCCACCTTCACGCTAATGTCCTAAAGGGTCTGTTGTGAGCAGCACCGTCACCGTCCTGCTCCGTGCTAACAAAGAACCTTCCAGAAAAAAACCCCACCCCCTCAACTGGTGTGAGCCCAGAATGCTGGGGCGGTCTCGCTGGATTGTGTTAGCCTGCCTTGCTGACAGGGGGCACAACGGGGGTTGTCAACCCAAAGATTCCCAGGGAACCTCCTGGGAACCACTGCTGCCCCTATTCTGGGAGCCAGAGCCTTGTTAGAAACTTTATGCACCCAAAGTCCCCCTGCTCAGCTGCAGCTGCTGCCAGCGGATTACAGTGCTCCGTACATTCCCAGTGGGGCTTTTATGTTCAGTCGCACTGCAGATGAACAGAAAGCCCCGACTCCAGTTGACCGGTCTTCCAGCACGGAAGACACCAACGGTTTTTCTACCCTGCCTGCCCCTGGAGCTCCTCATCCCAGTTTCACTGGGAACAAACAAGTAGCAAAGTCCTGACACACTGAGTGTGGTTTTGAATTCAAAAAGAATGGGATGTAGGATGAAAAAAAAAATAATTGCTATAGATCAGGAACAAAAAAGGGACCGTTGCAAACATCACCTACCATAACTGCTGGGAAGGGGATGTGCTCTGAAGTCAGGACAGAAGGGGAAAGGGATGGACTCAGCCAAACGAGCCACAATTGAAAACAAATAGATGCCACAGGTTCACCAGGAAGATCAGACACCCCCGTTTCACACCCTCCTTATCTCTGCTGAAAGAGTAAAATCAAATATCCACCTGTGGCAAGTGACCGGCAGCACTGCCTTATACAACTGTGGGATCTTTCTGTTTATCAAAGGTTGGAGAGCTTCCTTTAACCGGTGATAATTCCTTTCAAGTTCTCGCTGATACTCCTTTTGGTCTGGACCGATCAGGCTCTTGTTCTTGCGCAGAGCATCTTCACATCTAGAAAACAAAAGCCTGGATGACTTGGGCACACACAAAAAAAGGAGCTGCTTGCTAGAGATTTGTTAATCTAATAGTACCAAAAAAAATGACTGTGTTCCTCTGGGATGACACATAATATCCTCCTCTATCTTGTTTTTTGGGTAATAAGGGCTTGGCTAAACTGGTTGGTGTCCATGGGGAAAGGAGAGGATGTCACATTTCCAATTTCCATTTCACTTCCAGAGTGACAACTCCTTTTTTATTTTAATTTACTCTCCAGTTACATTCATCCTCTCTGAAGAGGAATGAAAAGCTGATCTCAACACAGCCATTTCCAGTCCAAGAGGACTGAAAGACAGAGAGATCTGCTCTCCCCAGGAAAGATTAATAACAGACTATGAGATGTTCATCAGGAACTCTTCTACTTGGAAAGATGTAATTTTAACAAAGGGTATGAAAAGAACTGCATCATCAATGCCACTTATTACATACGGGAAAATTACATTGCCACTGGATCTATTTGCATGGAACACTTTTATTTCAATTATTATTTTTTTTTTAATTCCTTGGTGCTTGCAAACGATGCTGGACTGAGACTGCAGTTTGCATTACTCAAGAGGAAAGCAGACCGGCCAGCACATTTCTTCAGAGAATTCTGCCAGCACGCTTCCACTCCATTTGGAGAAATTCACTTCAGAAGGAAATTAGATCTCCCGGCCAATTCAGCAGTTTCTCCTGACCCTGCCAAGCTGTGAGTTCGTTCGTGCCAGAGTGGCTAGTTGTGTTTTCTGAAACAGGAACACTTGTTCACAACTGAACTGTGATCACTAATTCATTCCCGATAAACAGCAACGCCAAACAACTTCAGCCGCTTGATCCGACTTAAGTCACAGACTTGCAGCACCAGAGGAACAGGGAACCACCTGGGCAGTGAGGAATACAGCGGCATACGGAAACGGGACAGATGGAGTTATGACATGAATACTCCTCTCTCCCAACATCCGCTGTGTTACTGTACATGTTCCTGTCTGGTGTGTGGTAGTGATAACTGCATCTGTCAGGCAGTTTGAAGACAATACTCCATACCTTTTCGTGAAGTCTTTGAAACAGAGGCGCAGTTTGTTATGATGTCTGAAGAGCTTTGGATCATTGGGTATTTCAGACAAGAAAACTTGTGCAACTTCTAATGGTCCCTTTAAGAGCAGAAGAAAAAAAGTAAGTTTCTTGAAACCATCTGTCTTCTCCAATTGCTGGAGAAACTTCTTGCACACAGAAACATTCGTAAAATGCAACATTTCCTTACAGAATGCATCTTGAAGAATTGCAGCTGGTAAATCTGGCATAAATCACCAAACATCATGACAACTGAATCTCTTTTACTTTTCTAGTGATTTTTTTTTTTTTTAGATAAAACTGTTTTTGGAAAACAGTGTGAGAAAATGCACAGATTCTACATTTGTTTCCTCTTATAAAGACTCTTGACAAAAGTTTGTTCAACTCATAACTAAGACAAAGTTTAAACAATGCAGAGGGAACCAAGGAAGCATTAGCTAGCACGGCAAACTCAACCCAGAACTTGAAATTCCAGCTGATTTTTTTCCAGCCCGCGCATTAGTAGAGCTTTACTCATACTCCTTCAGTTTTTCCTCAATTTTTCTCCATTCACTAATTTTGCTTTCCATTTTATTCAAAAACCACAGCGGGACATGCTCCTCGTTCCACCCACCAGAGCCTGGCTAACCAAAGGGAAAGTAACTATTTTTTTATTTAGTTTTTTTTTTTAAGGGAGAAGGAGAAGGCAGCAGAAACAACTGCGAATGCCAGGAAGGAACAGGTAACTGGGGGAGGAGGGGCTGTCTCTTTTCAGCCACTTTTCAGATCTAATGGCACTTCCAGGACTCTTACTCGACTGGCAAAGTCCCTGAGAGCAACTGGTCTAGACCCACCAGTGACGTTAAACACATCCCACAGACTGAACGGGGAAAAAAAATCCACGGTAATTTAGAAATAAGGCCCAACGCTGAGCGTCCACTGCACTGAGTGAAAGGCGCTACCCCAGTGTCTCCAACTCAGACGGCGATCCTCACCTGATTTACTGTGGTACCTACTGATCCTTGCAGCACCATCTGCAGCATCTTTGGGTCCGCAGGGTCTTGGTGGGTTGCAAAAGCTAACTCCTGTGTTTTCTTCTGCATGTCTTCTATGGCAACTTCAATGGGCGTCAAAATGATCTAAGCAAGTAGCCAGAATAGAGGATGCTTGTTATGGCTGAGGCTGTCAACCAGACACATAGTTTCAGAAACACCAAGGTCACTTTGGGGTGGCATACCGAAGCGGTGGAGGACACCAACAGGACTGACAGTCTGGACAGAAGCACTTTAGAAATGCATCCTCTTAGTCTTGGTTTAGGAACATCAAGAAAAAGTATGATTTTTAAATGTGTTTCTACATCTCAGTACTCAAGAGCTTTCTGAGATTGCTTCTGAGCAGGCAGATTCATGTCCCTTATGGTCACCGCAACCAACCACCCACGGTTACAGCACCATGTCAGGGCCCAAATACTCACAGGTTCCCTGCCTTGCATGCAAACACGTTTTTCATTGTGTCCCAGGTACCACATCAGTTCCTGCCTACCCTTGAAAAATTAACACAGCTTTGGGATAAACCTCTCTATAAGGCCTCAGGACCCCACTGGCCTGGGTCTGTTGAGGCCACGCAAGTGAGCTGTAACACAGAGCCACAGGACAGGTTGGACGGGGCTTTGGGTAACCTGGTCTAGTGGGAGGTGTCCCTGCCTGTGGCAGGGGGGTTGGAACTGGATGATCTTTAAGGTCTCTTCCAACCCAAACCATTCTGTGATTCTATAACACGTTGTTCAAGCAGAATATAAGGGAGCAGCCTGCGTTACTACCAAGCTCACCCAAGGACCCTTGCGTGTATCAGCTGCTGTGAGCTGGATGCACTGGTTAAAGAGGTGGCAGGACATACCACGTTTTTAAATTGGTCTAGTTTTAGTTTAGGTTGAGTAAAACCAGGGAGAAGTTCGATAGAAAGAAGGCATTCTTAAAATCAAAATAAAGGGGTCTCATGCACAGTCTCTGCAGTGAACAGCCAGAGCAGCTCACGACAGCGCTGTCTGCTCTCGCTCTCTGCTGAATTTCTGCATCTTTAGCAGAGAGGGGAAAGGTAGACCAGTGATGGCCAGGAGGGTACATCTGTGTTAACGTGACGGTGTGAAGGGACGTGGCCGTGCTATCAAACTACACATACATTCACAGAATCACAGAATTTTCAGAGTTGGAAGGGACCTCTAGAGATCACCTAGTCCCACGCCCCTGCTAAAGCAGGACTGCCCAGAGCACATCACTCAGGACTGCATCCAGGCGGGTTTTGAAGATCTCCAGAGAAGGAGACTCCACCCCCTCCCTGGGCAGCCTGGGCCACTGCTCTGTCACCCCAACTGTAAAGAAGTTTTTTCGTGTGTTGGAACGGAACTTCCTCTGTTCCAACTTGTGCCCATTGCCCCTCGTCCTGTCACTGGGAACCACCGAGAAGAGTGTGGCTCCATCCTCCTTCAACCCTCCCTTTAGATATTTGTAAGTAGTAATAAGGTCTGCCCTCAGCCTTCTCTTCTCCAGGCTAAAGAGTCCCAGCGCTCTCAGCATTCCCTCGTAAAGGAGATGCTCCAATCCCTCAATCATCTTGGTTGCCCTTCGCTGGACTCTCTCCAGCAGTTCCCTGTCCCAGTTGTGACCCATTTTGCACATGTTATGCATTATGCATGTGTTTCAGCAACATCCACTTCCCTTAGTCTTGTATAATATCTCCCTTCAAACACAGGAAGCCCCTGAGAGCACAGTCCTCACCTCCTCTTTGTGAATGACGTTTATCCTGGTTTTAATGTAAGGGAAAGCGTGGGACGTCGTCAGGATTGTTTTGCGCTTGAACTGCTCGTGCAGCTCCCCGTGAGCTCGGCCGTCCAGCGTGAAGGGCGTGCAGTACATGAAACGCCGCAAGTTGTAGTTTTTGTCGAAGTAAGTTATCCTGTCCTTCATCTCATACGTGTCAAAGTACGGCTCCACGTAGGTTATCTGAATGTAGGCCTGCAGGAAGGAACCCAGGGTGCAGGGTGAGGGACAGTGCCAGGGCAGAAGAGCTGACTCCTACGCCCTGCTTTTTAGCAGCGCAATACCCCAGTTTGCTTTCTTTCCTCTCGAAGCCACCCTCCAGGAGAACTAGAACTGTTTTTTGCCTTTACTCAGAAAAATGACGCTCACACTGACAGGGATGCAGGGTAGCTGCTCAGCAGTTTCTGGATTGGATAAAAATACAGCAGACTGCCGCTCTCCTCTCATGCTCTTCGCATGAAGTGTTTCCTTCCTTTCCCTGCAGATAACGCCCTGCCCTCAGCCACAGTCCTGTTTCCCAGGCACGCTCCTCTTGTTTCTGTTACTCTTAAAGGACACGGCACAAGAATGACAGAATGCTGCAGCTGCAAAAAAGTCAGATGCCAGTGAATGGCAGACTCCCTTCCTTGCACGCAGCGGAGACTACAGAGAAAGGCAAACGCCACCTGCGCCTCTGCTGTCCTTCCGTCTCCTCCCTTCCCACCAACCACTGCAAGGGCAGGGCCTGGGGCAGGGAGCAAACTGGCTAATTCTGCATTCCTTTGCTGGGATGATTTTCCCCAACTTTCCTCCCAGGCAGTCACAAGACACTCTGTACACGGATTTCATTGCCTACTGGGTGAAATTCAGGGCAGGACTCGTTCCATTGCGTTCGCATGCATTCAGGACCAGTTCTCCTTCTAAACCCTTGTGTTTAGACTTGTGTTCTTACCTTGTTAGGATCTAGTTTGCATTTGTCCACAGGGTTTGAGTCCTTAATCACTTCAAGCACATCTTCACCAAACCGTTCTCCGTAAAATCCCTACAATCAAGAGCAAACGCACAGAAAGAAAAGATCAAACGCAGCCATGAGAGATGGGGGTTGGAGAGACAAAGGCGTATTCAGGGGAGGTGAAGCTCCCACATGCTTTCAACAGTACAACAGCCATTTCCTAAACTTTATTTTTCCCACTAGCCCAGTGACTTCCTAACTAACAGTCTAACAGGAAAAAACAAGCCAAATGCCCTGGAAGGCAGGAGAACTCGGGAGCCTTCCAACCGCGCGCACACGCTGCGTGGTTCTGAACAAGCCATTTGAGCTCGCTGTCTGCCTGGGAGCTCAACTGAAAACGGGGGTCAATACGGGATCTGCCTGGAAATCAGGTGCCGCATCAGAGCGCGGCTTTGCTGGGCCGGGTGAATGGCCGGATTCCGAACGCAGTTTCATGCGCTTAAACCTCAAACAACGCTGCTGCTTTCAGCGCAACGTGACAGCAGCTGAATCGTTGCGAGCAACAACGTGACATCAGATCTATTCTAGTGAATCAAACAGGGCCAGGTCTGCCCTCTGGCCCTACCAACAAGTAGCATGGCACGGCCCAGAGCTCTGCTGCCGAACGCTCTTCCTCTCCCACGGGGGACGGCCTCAGCTGTCCACAGTGCTTACTGGGAACAGTTTCTGACCCATGCTGTCCCCCAAACTGTGCTAAGATGTAATCTAGACACAGGCTAGTTGGCACAAAACCAGGCCAGGCTGATGACTGGGTGGTACCTGGAGCTGCACCCCGGCCCCAGTTAGATTAATCAGAGTTGCCTTTGCTTGTTCACGGCTGAAACAGACTTCAGACCTGTGATGTCCCACTTCAGGGGCTCTGAAATTCAGCCACCTTAAGAGGGTTCAATCTCTAGGAGAGAGCAACATGATGTGAAGGCAACAAAATGACAGCAAGTGCAGTACTTTCTGGAAGTCAGATCCCGAAAGGCATCTCAACCTTTTTTCAAGCCCAGCTCACCCCATTTACAGCAGGGGCCTGAAGAGAAATGAAAACGCAGTACGATACGCCACAAACTCCCGAACGATCACAGCAGCTCTGCAGCCCTCGCTGCAAGATCAGGGAAAACCTGTGGGACTCCTCTCCCTGCGTTCCTCCCACCTCCTGCAGAGGTGGCGCCGGCAAGAGGACAGGAGACATCAGGCCCAGCTCTGGGTCACTGCACGGCGCTCTGCAAAGGGTTTTGCCGAGTGGCCGTGTCTCTAAGCTCAGCCTCGCACCGGGTTCCGAGAGGCACGGCGCTGGTTTTGCCCCACAATTGCAATTTTCACCACTTTCTGTAATTTGGCAGCACAGCTCCTAAATAACCGATGCAAAACAGTCAAAACTGCGACTCACAGACAGAATTTGAGGTCAGCCACAATCATCTCACCTCGAGCCTATGGGAAATTTCAGCTAACTTTGTTATCGCAGGCTCCTTGTAAACAAACTCTTGCTCATCCAGGTCTCCAAATTTAGTTCCATAAAAACCAACCCGGAAGTAGGTGCCAAACATCCTCTTTCCATCCTAGGTTTGGAGAGACAAAAGGTTATTTCAGTGTGGAGACACGCGTACCCCCAAGCACGGCTGCAGGCAGGCTCCTGAATTTATGCAAAATAAAACAAGAAATTAAAAAACAAGAAAAAAAAAAAAAAAAAAAACAGAAAAAAAGAAAGAAGGGAAAGAAAAACACACCTGGAACTCAGCATGAATGCATTTAGCAGCAATGAAATCATAAACTAACATGACATTATATGGATTGGTTACGACCATTAGCCCAACCCTGCAATGACTTTTCCCACCCCAGGAGGAGCCTGGAGGTGTCGGATGTCTCTGAGGAAGAGTCAAAGGCAAGTCCCTTCGTTTGGGTAATTATTTCGTGCTCCCCAAATCCTGTGCAGACACCCCTTAGCCTGGTCCATGCCCTGTAGGCACGTGCTGTCAGCACGTCCAGCTGCTGACAGCCTGCAGAACGCAGACACCCCTGAAAAGTACCCACACCAGAGCCCCCATAATCCACTCTCAAGTTATTGCAGGACTGGGCCGAAGTCAATGTCCAGTTCACTCACACACACACGCGCGCAGGTGCTTTCTAAGTAGCATGTCAACTGGAAGGTGTTACGTTCTCTTCTAGTAACTAATGTCTAGTACGGAGGAGGGCCAAAGTCACTCCTGGTGAAAGCAGATGCAATCCACTGTATCATGTACCTGCTTCTGTTTGAGCCAGTGGTGAATTTGGCCCAGAAATGCAACAAAAGTAGAGAATCAAGAAAGATTTTTTGCTGGAAAAATAATGAAGAAAATCTGATTAAGAGAAAGAGAGAGAGAGAAAAGAAAACCGCTTTAAAAATAAATCACACCTTTGATTTTGTTAAAAAAGGAAACTCACGCTGCATGCACAAACCAGAAATGCCTTTCAGCACGAAACTCTAAAATGTTCACCTTTACTCTCGTGAGAAAGTGTGATGTAGTATATAACGCTCAATGTTTCTGAATCTGGGCTAGTGTTTGGTTTCAAACAGCACTTACAGATGTCCTGACTGCTGTGCATGATTATTTTTTTTTTTTTTTAGTATTTTGCTATGGCAAAACTGATTTCTTGTGGTGATGGCGAACATGATCTATGGAAGGCAAAGAGGATAAATAAGCCAAACGAAGATATAAAAGACCCTCAGGCAAACACCAGAGACTGGAAAAAGCACCGTCATGGCAAGCTACCACCTTCTCCTGGCCTGGAGGACACTCTGGGACATCATGCCGGAGCTGCCCAGGCACGGCAAGGCTCCTCTCGCCCCCAGCACAGCCAGGAGGACGCAGCGTTGCCTTTTTAGGGTGAGAGCTGCTGCCCACCCCAAGCGCCTTCAGTCAAAGCTCACCGATGCCCAGCTCTGAAGTGGAAGTGAAGCCTGAAGTGATCAGAGCCAGCAGCAGCCTTGCTCGATACACGCAGGCCACATCTTGGCTTTACTATGGGACATCGGCAGATATAAAATTCACCAGCTCTGCTCTGGCAGGAGCGTAGAAACATGCTCCAATTTAAGAAAACCAGGAGTCGCACCAGGAGTTGCTCATACGCTTCACGTGGTGCGGGCGGCTCTGTGGACCCCTGCTCTAATCCCTCCCTTCAAGCACCTCTCCTTCAGAGGGGGCCTTTTATGCAGCTCCATCTGCCACCACAGACTACAGGGTTTCATCGCACCATCCCCAGAAGCGTGTCCCAGGCTGCAGCCCCGAGCTGCAAAGCTATTGCTGTTTTATTGGAAGTACCATCTGGCAACACCTGGGAGCTATGTCCCTGGACTCCCAGTCTTTTTCCAGTGTCCGTCCCCGTGGACGCACACAGGAATGAGCAGCCCTTAATTTACCCTTCTCTAACCCTTAATTTACTCATCTCTACCTTTCCAAAGCCACAGTTTAGGACCATATTACCCACGCTAAAATCCCTCAACGCTCAGCATTTCCAGCTTCCTGCACTATTTTGTTTTTTTCTGTTCAATCTCAATGTTATAGGCAGAAGACTGTGATTCCAGGACTTCTTTCTCAAAGCACTTCCCAAGGTAGCGCCATGTCTGCCCAAGGGGAACTGCCATACAAAACATCTCCCCAAACGCTACACAGGGCCTGGACACGCTCCACGTGGAAAGTGGTGGGATCCTGCCCCAACCCGCAGGCCCCAGCGATGGAGAACACACTGCTGCTCTTCTACTTCATGTGTTTTTTCCTACCTACTTGGCGAGTGACTTTCAGGCTATGAAGTGTTTGCAGAACTTGGTCCCCACAAGGTATCTGCCACGTGGACACCTGCCCAGACACCTATTTGTTACGGGCAGTGTACATTTATGTTGCTGTAAAAATAACAGTGAGTGAGGAAAGAAATGCTGTCTGTTGATCAGCATCAATTAATAAGGAGTTCTGGTGGCATTTACTAAACGCATAAAATAAGAATAATGGGGCATTAGGAAGTCCCAGGGACAGTAGTAGCAAGGAATCACAGAATCATGGAATGGTTGGGGTTGGCAGGGCCCTCTGGAGCTCCCCCGGTGCCACCCCCTGCCAGAGCAGGGGCACCTCCAGCAGTGGCACAGGACGGCGTCCAGGCGGGTTTGGGATGGCTCCAGAGGGGGAGACTCCCCCACCTCTCTGGGCAGCCTCTGCCACTGCTCTGCCGCCCTCACAGCAGAGAAGGCCCTCCTCAGGTGGAGATGGAACTGCCTATGGTCACGTTTGTGCCCGTTCCCTCTTGTCCTGTCACTGGGCACTACTGGAAACAGACTGTTCTCATCTACCTGGAACCCCCTTTAAGTATTTGTAAGTACTGATAAGTTCCCCCCTCAGTCGTCTTTTCTCCAGACTGAACAGCCCCAAGTCCCTCAGCCTTTTCTCATAAGAAAGATGCTCCAATCCCTTCATCATCTTTGTAGCCCTTTGCTGGACTCTCTCCAGCAGTTCCCTCTCCGGTGAGATTCAGTGCCCCGGTACGAAAGCAGCACCCAACTTATGTACTTGTTTCATTGTCATGAAGACCAGCTGCACCGTCTTTTCCTGATAAATCCAGTTGCTGAAACTCAGTTATCATAAGGGTCCCAGGAAGAGCCAGCAGTGAAGAGCGCTGGTCAGCCCCTCATGAGACAGAAACATCTCCCCCACAAACCCCTGGATCCATCAGCCATGAAACAAATGTGACTCATGTTGGGGAAACTGTAGGTGGAAGTAGGAAGGGGCTGGAAACACGCTCCTCCGGGAGAGCAAACACCTACGGGCCATTCCGTACCTCTCATAGACATTCAGTAGCTGCCAGCCCCCTGAGATTAGGAGAGGTCAACTTCTTGCCTGGCGTTAAGAACACGGGACGGCCCTGTACTAGGATCTTTAATTGAAATGTAGCCAACACCAAAGTCTATCTAATCACAGTACCCACAACAAGAAAAATAACTTAAAAATACTCCATGGTCTTGTTTCTGAAAAGAGCTAAAAATGCAGATATGAGGGAGAAATTATTAAAAGCATTTTATCTCCTATTATTTTATGAAAAATAATAGGTCTTTGGGAGGAGAAGAGAATGAAGGTGAACACTGAATAGCCATTACAGAACTGGCAGAGCAGATAACAGCCATCATGATTTATGAAGGTTCATGATTTGTTATTATGCATGGTAAATACCTTTCAAAATTGCTGGGAATAAAGTTTTAGAGTTATCTCTTGCACGCACACAAAAAGCTTTGCCAACAATATTTGAAAAAATCAAGACGCAAGAGCGACCATCTGCTTTCTTCACCAAGACCAACACAGCAGGAGCTGCCTGAAGGCAGAGTCAGCCCAAAGTATGTAGGAATAAAGGCAACTCCTTCATACGCACTGTGCCGAATGCAAAATCCAACTACCTTTACCAAACGCAGCATTGTTATTTTCTTGCTAAATTTTAACCCAAGGTCCTTTGCAGTGTTGCCAACTACTACAAGTCTTCCAGTATTGATCTTTTGAAAGTACCACCAGTCCTGCTGTTTGATGGCAACCTCACCCTTAATACTTTAAAAAGTATTTTTTAATTCACATGGCATAGCATGACAAGATTTTTCCTAACAACTTTCCTAACTGGAAAGTAAACAAAAAGAATGAATTCAACACTTCTTCAATGAACAAAACACACAAGCAGAAAAACCCACCACTTGGTATGTTTAAGCAGGTCTCAGAAACGCATTGGTGCCGGAATCAGGATACTTCAGTGCTTGTAGTTGGCAATACTACTTTCCTTGTGACATGAAGGGGGGATCCTGCTGTTGGCATAGCTCTTTGGTAAAATGAAATTGGGGGTTCCACAGTGTAAAAACAAAAAGGGGGGGAGGGGGGGGAGGAGGAGAAAGGGAGGGGAAAAAAAATTCCACAAGTAGGAACTTACCACAACAGACAATAGTAAGAGTGGGAAGGAGGGTCAGCAACCAGGGCGACAGAGGAGAAAACAGAAAGTATTTAATTAGGGAAATTCCAAAAAACAAACAAGCAGCAAATTGGCAGCAAATAAACTTTAAAATAAAAAAGGGTGAGCATCAATTAAAGTATTTAAAATAAGGGGAAAAGGGCAAAACATGCAACAAATCTGAAAGCTACAAAGCACAAAGATCAGAAAAAGTGTGGCAATGAAGGAGCACGATGACAGACGAGAACAGAAACCATGGGTGTCTTTTACCATGCAGTAAAACATGACTGAGTGATGTTAGAATCATAACCAATGACAGGATTTTCTTCAGGGGTCGATTTAGGGGCAGACGAATCAAAATAGATGCTCACAGGCCTTCACGTTCGTTGGCTATTGAACACAGATCATTTACTCTCCTACGACATTTACTCTGGATTGCTGTGCTGCCTCATCTGCTCTGGCTTTTCACAGGAACAAGCAAACAATTTACAGGGCCAGCCCTTAAGCGTTAGGGGTTACTTTTAGGCTACCGAATTTCATTTCTTGCTAGGCTGAAATTGAAACTGACGTTCAGACATCATCAGTCCAAATTATTTGCGTCACACAATGCAAAAGAACTTCGTTCTTGGCCCCAGTTTGGGAAGCGGGGGCTTAAATGCTCTCCTGTGGTGGAAACATGGAGTGAGATGGCCCGTGCTGAGTTGCCTGATTCACAGGAAAGCAGAGATTAACTGGACAGCTGAAGACTAACCAAACAATGTAACATCATAGTCACAAAACATTTAAAATGTCTTCTGAGCCCTCTCGACCCACTGTGTCGACTGGACTAGGGCCTGAGTTATCCAACTCCCTCTGCTGTGTGCGGATGAAGCCGACTGCTTTGTCTAATTTTAATCCAAATGTGTGGTTCTCGTGTTGTATGTTGTAGAAAGGTGAGCAAACAGCCTCTACAAAAATGGAAGTAGCAAAACTGACTCCAGTTAAGACAACCGAGGTATTTTCCTGCCAGATAAACAGCTACGTAACAAATTGATTGTTCTTAAATGACCAGAATGAAGCAGCCTATTCTCTGGAATGCGGTCTGCACACGCAGTAAAGCAGTTTTGTGTTTCAGCACCTCTGAGCATTATTGCTTAAATCGACCCCTGTGGGTGGGGTGAAAATATGGTATGGAGGGATGATATTCTGTGTCAATGCTGATGAAAAGAAATATAAACAAATTATAAAAACAAACTAGTGATGATACAGTGGCTCATTCACCAAAGAACCTCATTAGTGGAACACATCAGCATCCATGCACTACCTACAGCTTCTTATGAAGAACTTCCTAATACAACCACAATCGGTTTATTGGTATTTCTTTGGTTAATGAATTGTTTTAACAGCAGACAGCAACAGAAATACCCACAACTAGCACATGTGGGCAAGCGTTGGCGTGAGTCATCTGAAAAATCTATTAGTGTTCTTTACTAACTAAAATGGAGTTACCTACCTCCCAGCCAGTACTCTGTGTAATAAAAAGTAAAAAGCGCATGTCACAGAAACCAAAAAAAAAAGTTTCAAAGGCCAAAACATGACCATCAATGTAAGGTATCATAAACCTGAAACGGTTTCAATGATTACAAGTCATCATTCATCCATAACGGCCTTCTCTGGCCTAGAAGGACACTCAATGATTGTCCTCCATCGGTACACTTAACCTCAGGAATCTGGCGATGCCAGAACATGGAGAAAACCACCAGACTCTCAGCTGGATCCTATGAAATCGATGCACTCATCAACACCTACTGAGCAGCTGATGGCAGCATAAGGGTAACTACACCAACAGACATACGATGTACCCAGCAGCCCACGACCAGAGAGCTGGTTGGGGCGGGGGGCTCAGAGTAGCACTGGCACATACTGGAGGAGGGTTGGCCGAGTGCTTGCCTGCCCTGACAGAAAGGCACGCACCCGACAGACCTCTCCTAGAAGGTAACGTGTGCTTCTTGAGAGTTGCCAAGTGCTCTCGTCTCCTGCTTAGCTGAGGTTGGTTGATAACTTCTGGTATCTCTCATCAATGCTCAGCACCTAAGCTGGTGGGTTTTGCACCATCTGAGTTTAGAAAGGTTCCTTCAATTATTTATCTACCATACAAATAGACAAATAAAACCCCAACATTTCTGAACAATACCTACCAGGCTAAAGGCAAGATACAGTGTTTTTCCCAGAAATATAGCATGCAAAAGACAGGTTAAAATAACATCTGAAAGGATAAACTGACAGATGATTGGAATTTTTAACTCTTGGGTATTTCTAAAGTTACAATGAAACTTAGTATATGATGTCTCTCATGTTTCTCATGTTAAATGTCCAGAGAGAAAAAAATCCTGTTAGCGATCCTTGCATTTACTGTGGATCACCATTTGACAAATCTCGTGTAATCCGATTAAAATGTTTTTTTCTTAACAGGTAGTTTTTATTTGCACTGAGTATTTGAAGTTTCTTCACAGTTCACATTGCAGCTGAAAATTCAAATCATTACCTGGTGAACAATCTTGCTGAACGCTTCTTGGAGTTTACCATGAATAGTAGATAGCTTCTTGGCATCTCTATTAGCTTCATGAATAGGAATAAGGACTTTGTAAACCTCATTAACTGCTTCATACATGCCAGCCTACAAAAATAAGGTCCATCAGATTGCTCCATCAATTCAACAGCAAGAATGATACATACTACCAGCATTTAAATTACAATACTGCAAAACGAAAAGGTGGCACTGTGATGTAATCAGCACCTTTTTTTTTAAGTTATACCCAGATGTGAGCGGAATAAAATCCCCAGTCACCTTTGGAACCAACAGCCTCCTGCATTACACACTGCTACTAATAAATGCGCTTATTAACAGAATCAAAACCAGGATATTTTAGATGGATACATGCACAAGAACACAACAAGCTAAATAGGATCCTAACCAAATCTATAAGAATGAAAAATGAAAGCTTAAGGGCACAGTAAAGCTCATTCTATCTAGTGCATCTTCAACCTAAGTGACTTCTACATCCAACTTTTGGGACTCCGTGAGATGGGATTTGTGAAGTTTCCTTAGGATGTCTCTAAGGGAGGGGATCCAGCCCACCGCAGGCACAGACACTGCATCGCATGGCTTAGCCAGCCCACAGCAGGGGTTCTAGGTCTTTGCTCTGGAGTCGTTGCTGCCTGTACTTAAACCCACTGGATGATGTTTCATATTGCGTCGTGGGAAATAATTCGCTTGCTCTCCTTGGGTTTTGATGGATACACTACTACCAGCTCATTAACACTGCTCACATAAAGCTCTCAGCCAACTCATTCTGAAGAGGAGGAAAAACATTACAGCCTTTCTTTACTGTTGTGAATTCCCAAATGTGCAGCGTTGAAGTGAAAGACACTGGAAACACACAGAGGCCTCTCAGTCCCAGATCCCGCTCTTTGCACAGTTTACTCCAGAGGGCAAACCGAGCTGCCTTGAACAACTAAAACTCCCAATGCTCCATGCAAATTAAGTGGTTAAAATAGAGTTATACACAGAGAAAATATTTTCCTTCATACTGCCCATAAGATTGCTGAAGAAGATAGGTAAAGAAATTAAAGTCTTCTACCATGGAAAAAGACGCTGCAGCCTGTTCCAGCAATCCCACCAGACCAGCTTCTGTAAAATACTTCCCAGAACAGATACCTTCTTCATCTGGTGATACAACATCATCAGAAACTGCTGACTCTTCCAAAACATTAGAAGATATGTTCTAAGGAAATATAATGTAGACAAAATATTTTTACTGTTTAAACAACATTCAAACCTCTCAATACTTTGAAAGCCAGCTGGTTTTCAATCAAATCCTAAAATTTTAAAGAGGCAGCTTTCACATGCATTTTCTTTCATTTCCTTCTGAACTAGCACGGTACTTCAGCACGTGCTTAAACTGACCAGACTGGACCACCTACACATTCAAAGCTGAGTATGTGCTTGTTTGCTCTACTCGGTATTGTCCTGCTTAACATTACTTAACATTACTAGTCACAGGAACCGCTTTCATCAACGGCACCCGCTATGAAATGGTCAGACCAAAACCAACAGAGTAAGTGCAGTATGAGTATACAGGCGGAGTAATTCCCAGCACGTGGAGATACTCAGTATCTCAGCACCAGATGACAAAGCCTAAAAATACATTACGGAGGAAAATTCCTACCTGAAATGTAACACACCCTACAGGGAGGTATTTTCGGTCTTCCAGCATGCTTAGATATTCAGCCACCAAGGCTGCAGAGTGGACCAGGCACTGGGCTGATTCGGCATGATTGCTCCTCTCGGAGTGCTTTCCAGCCATGTTCTGCAGCCACGTCAGGCGCAGGTCAGGGGAATTCTGATAGCCCTTTGCAATCCTAATAGAAAAGAAAACTTCTGTGATTAGTATTTAGTTACTTCTCCTTCAATAACAACCACCCTCCGTGCTAGGCTATACAGAAAGACATGAAATAAGAAGTGATATAGATGGAAAGTTACCCTAAATTACTTCACAGATTTCTGAGCCAGTTAGTGGCAGGTGAGCAACAGCAGCTACCCCCCTGATGGCAGAATGCTTTTATGGGTGACTGCTGAAGCTCTGGACCAAAGCTCGAATTTCACTTGGAGACAGGTAGTAAGCCAAAGATGTGGGACGATCTGAGCAGACCTGCCTGGTTGCTTATGACAAAACCTCTGCCGTCTTCTAAGAAGCCTTCACGACCATTCGTGCAAACACCATGCAATTTGGTAGTTGGGATCTTAACATGGCTCTGGAATATCTTTTGCATATGGAGACCACCGTATGTACCACCACCAAAAAGCCTTTTGCACAAGCAGGTCCTGGAAGAGCCTTAAGTTTTCCCTGATGCAAGCAGGGAGAGTTGTCTTTACTCAGGTGGAGGATGAGATTGTCAGAGACTGCTGGGGAATGGAAACTCCTTTTCTCCAAGATAAGTTACATAAATGCCAAACACCACATTCAAACACAACAGACAGGTACGTATTGGTCCATGAGCACTATAAGGGCTCAAATGTGCAACATCTGAGTCCAAAAGCAAAGAGCAAGTTTGGTTGGAACTGGGCTGGTTCCAGAGGAAAAGTGAATCGTGACAAGCAGTGTAAAACAGGTTTAAACTTAAAGTAAAGTAATTGCTAATCAAAAAGAAGTAATCAAAGTTCACAGCAATACAATACCTCACACTCTAAATACAGGAAGTGCAGTAGGCACAAAAATTTGTTCGAGCACCGTGTGGAGCACTGACATCTACCGTCCCTACAGTGCAATGGTTATAAACTCTACCTGTACATCAGGTCAATCAGCATTTCTGGATCTTCCTGGTGCTCCTTCATCTTAACTGTGTCCGAGAGGATCATATGGAGGTTGAACACTAGATCCTGGACCTGTAAAATATATACCGCTGCAATGAACTGGCAATGGAATCTGAGCTACATAATGCTATGTTTGGACCACAGTCACTCTGACCCTTTGTGTGTTCGAACCTTGGTGTCCGAATTGATCAGAAACCTGAGTTTTATGTACTCAGGTGATTAAAAAAAAAAAATGTACCTCCTTCAGGGAATACATGCAACTTCCAGCTATAGATGGAGGTTTAAGAACAGACTGTTAATGAACTACATATTACTTCTCTTTTACCTGATCAGGAAATGTTGTCTCCCTAAGCTCCAGATCTTCTTCAGCATATGTCAAAATAGTCTTCAGGGAACGTCTCAAAAATTCCTCATTGAAGTTCTGGGATGTCCCCACCAGGGATGAGAGCGACATGGTCACCTGCATTTTCACTCTGGCAAAGTTCTGCAACAGAGAAATTATTATTATATTTCAACAACCTGGAAATACTGCAACAGTCTGCTGCAACATCACTGTTCTGATCATTGCACCCTCCTCCTGACAGACACCTGATACAAAAGAGAAAACACAAGTTTTGTGAAAAGGACTGTCACAGAGCAGTGGTTACAATAAACCTCTGGTGCTGCTGACTTCATAATCTGATGACAGCATTATTAACTTCCAAGTGAAGGTTATCCTGCAAAAGTTTTAGTTTTCTCTCCTTCTCCCTGGTCTCCTCCCAAGCACCCTGAACAGGATGATGTGCAACTCCCTCTCGTGAACACAACCTTCATTCCAAACACTTTCTTTTGCTTTGGTCAAGCCTAACAACTGGAGGCACCATCACCTCATTGCTATCAACCCACTAACGGTCCCTGGGCCCAGAACCAGTGGGTCCCTCCAGTTCTGCTACTCACCACAGGGGACTGTAACCAAAGCAGTGCAAAGATGTCTGGAGGAGCGCTTTGTAGCACATAGCTACACGTCTGCCTGCAAAGTACCAACTGGAAGAGTTAAGGCTGGGAATGTTCTTGACAATTTAAAGTCCACATGGGTGAGTCAAGCTAAGATGTAATTGGAGGTAAGATCTGAATGAAAACAAAATCCCAGCATTGCTACCTCACCTCCACTAACCTCCCTTTCAGAAAGGACTCACATATTAGCTGTGCCACAGGAAGGGCTGCGTGGCTGTTTCTGCTCTCACCTAGAGGCGTGCCAAAGCAAGGCAGAGGGAGTTCCTCCAAACAGCCCCTCGTGTGCAAACTGTCCAATCTGGAGAGTACGCCAACCTTCCAAACTGCCAGGTTTGGAACCTCTCACAGTGGATGTTCCAGGTGGGACTCTGCATCTCTCTAGAAACCAACATGAGAGGCAGCTTGCCTGCAAAGCCATTCTGGGCGTACAGGTCAGACTGGAGACTGGACACTCCTGCTATGCACCGGCCAACAGTGTGAGGTACTGCAAGATCAGGAGCTCGGCAAAGTCATGTCGCTCCTGCGTGCCTCTCTTCCCTTTGCACGTCAGGCTCGTTTCAACGGTAAGACCTCCAACAGCCCTTCTCCCACAGGAATACACAGAGCTTCATCCGGCGGTCCCCAACCAGTTCACATGTAATAACCTAATGAAGTGCAGCAGGATACTCACGTTCCCAATCTCAAAGTTTTGCCTCATCAGAAGGTAAAGAGAGGCACTCGCATGCGACCGTATCGTGCTGATACTGCTGCTACAGTGTCTCAGGAGCCTCAGGCACAGATCTGCACACTGCTCAGTCTCTTCTTCAAACAGCAGTTCAGGGAACTTGAAAAACAGCACATGAGAAAATTAGTGCTTGGACAGATGGGAACAAGCACTCAGACAAAAAGGCCAGGGCAATCCTCAGCAACGAGCACGCACTGGCATTAGAGGAAGTCCAATCCCCTCTGTTTTGAGGGGAATGATGCTAGTTTGAGTCACTTCACTTTTACAGTAAGGCGAAAGCAGGCTCACTAGCAGCACTGGAAGGCAACTCCTGTTGCCCCCCCACCTGCCCCCACAACTTGCTCCTACATCTACACTTTTAGACCGATTTACATCAGTTCCAAAAACTCAGGCTTAAAACCTGGAGCTTTTCCCAGTATAACCACAGAAACTGGGAAATTGTTTAAATTATGGGTCCAGCAAAACAAATCCATTTTAATTGAATTTCATACAGCTTAAATTCCACCTGTGCTTTGTGTTCCCTACTGTCTAGGTACCTCTGCCCACTTACCACTGGTGCATGCAGGAACCCACACCACACTCGGGCCGTGCGAACTGTACCTTTGTGTGCAGATGTCAAACCCAAAGTGCATAAATATGGGTACTGATAATGAGCCACACTTCCTGAAATCTAATATTGCACGAAATAATAAATGCTTAGTGAAGCGCAAGGAAGAAAATAGCCCCATCCTCCAGCAGTGCTGCTCGGGATATATAACAGCGTCCGCAGAGAATTCACCTTTGAAACCAAAGCCCTCTGTGTGGCGAAGCAGTGTTGGAGATAAAGTGCACTTTGGTTGCAGGCCATGCTGTGCAGAAGCACTTTCAGCACTCCGCCGAGGATACTCTCTTTGGACTCCGTCACAGAAACAGTCTGCAGTCAAAAGTAAACCAAGAGTTGCATGAGCAAAAATTATCCTCCTGTGTAAGTCTGTGCGTGTGTAAGAGAGAATAACTCTGCTGAAAAACCCTTTGGCGTGGAGAAATTACCCACTTAGCCAGGCCTGCAAAACAGTCACATTACTGAATCAGCCCCCAGCTAACACAAACCCGACCCACGCGCTGAAGCCAGCGGAACGATGGTGCATTCCACCCGATGAGACCTTTGGGGACCTTGTTCTAGCAGAGGGAAAGCCTGCAGCTGGCCTCTAGGTGGATTATTCAGGCGCAAGGTGCGACCCCTGGGTCCCTCTGCAGCTCAGAGGCAGACGTGGCAACCTGCTCCTGCCTGCTTCCATCCCCTGCCCAGGTTTCATTTCTACCGAAAGCAGGGGACAAAACTGCCGTGTGTCCTCGCTCACCTGTGGGGAGTGAGGAAATAGCTGGGCTGTGCACACAGGCCAAGGAGCCTGGAAGCTTTCCTGCACCGTGCAAATTAACTATGGATACAGGAGGCTGACCTGGAACCCAATGACTTGGGGCAGATTTGAGAAGGACTAGAGGAATCAGTCAGAATAGCGCTTGGAAGTTTTTACAGTTCATTACTGAGGTTTCTGAATAACCACTTCTCATACTACAAAAAGTAAACAGCTTTCAAAAAGCCTGAAGGAAGCTACCGCAATGTAAAACCAGACCGTTTCAGGCTGAGGATTAGGAGAGGTTATTACCACCCTCCCTGCTGCAGCAGGGGAGTTGAACAGTTCCGACAGTGTTCAGGCAGTTAAGAGCAGCAGGAAGGTTTTGTTTAACAAAATGCTGCCTGGCCAGGTGATCGTAATGCTATTACATCTCTATTTCCTTATCGCCCTTACCTGTACAACTATCTCTAGTGTATCCAGAATAATCAGATTCGCTTCCGTTGCGAGATTTCCATCGATAAGTGCCTCATGTTCTATCTCTGCCCTTGATCTAATCAGAGAAAAGAAAGCAATAAAATTACTTTCTGTTTAAGAAACAGACCTACCTATTTTCCAGTTCAAAATATTTTCACGTTAGCAGAAACACACCCCCCCACCCCGGTCACAACGCATATATTTACTACTGGACAACACTACAAGGATATTTCAATGCATCCATTAAGAGGACAGGAAGAAAGACTTGTTCTTTTTACAAATACAAACTTACACAGGATTTACGTTCATCATGCTAGGAGAGATCAAGCTACTTTCTGACACTCCGTTACTCTCCCAGGAACACCGCAACAGTTTAGAATCAAAGTCCAACTCAAAACTGGTTTAGTAGCATCGTTAGGCATGCAACAGCACAATCAGGAACAGAACGTATGGTTTTATGTTATAGGCTATGGACACAAGGTGGTGCTACACGAGCTAGTAAATCTGCACTGCTGATCCCGGCACCTAGACTGGTTGTAGCACAGGGTGCGTACTGTGAGGGTGCGATCTTTGTCCGTTGGAGCTACGTTATATTACAGTTCTTGAAGAATATCATCCTCTCCAAGAAAAATGACACAATTTTGCCGGCATACGCCAGGCACTCACTTTCCTGGAAAGGCTTACAAAGTTCATGCACCCACTCACACCGGTAGAAATTCAGCAGCAACCACCTAATTTCAGTGGCACGAGTCGCACTTGGCAAAGACTCAGTAGTATATTTAAAGAGCCCAACTATGGCCTGTCCTACCACAGGTGCCACCTCCGACAGACTCATGCCAGGCCGAATCACAGCAGGAGCGTGACCCATGGGAATCAACAAAATCCAAGCAAAATACACACCAAAGGGGACGGCAGCTGACTCGGCTCTGGCACCTGTATTGCCGCAACCCTCCCCTGCCACACTCTGCTTCCTCTGGGAGCTGGGTCATACGCTCAGTATCTACTCTTCAGGCTCCAGAATATGGAGGCTCAGGGCCTGGCCCCATACAAAATAATACCATCTGCGTAAAATAATACCACCTGCAATTAGCTGCGCACAATTCTCGGTGTGCAAAGTCTTTCTTATTAGGTTTCAAAGGGCCAGACTCTACCTACGCATGCAGGACACGCTTGCAGTGCCATAGGAGTGGAGTGCGATGGACCCAGGTCACAGTAAGCAAGTATGGGTTAAAAAGCAGGTTTGTAGAGTTATCAAAGCGGATTATTTTGTGGGGTGAGATACCATCCTTTGACCATCAGGGTATTCCACAGCATGTACGTGAGGTCCTCCTGGGAAGATGAAAGGGCTCAGACCCAGTGCCAGCAGCGAACTGGGTTCTTCAGGCCAAATTTTAATCTGGTGTAGCTCTGTCCACAGCTCTGGAGTTGTGCCCAAGTGAAATTTATACCTACATCACTTCATTAGTAGGTTGAAACACACCGGTCACTTGGCTTTCCCAATGCCTCAACAGGACTGGGGTCTTGGACAAAAAGTCACTACTTGACATAACAAGAGATTACATTGTTGTGTTGGACAAAGCAATTAGAAGCTGTGAAGATGTACTTTCAACTTCAGGAATTGTCAACGTCTTCAAGGGTAAAATTTGGCCTGCCCTCCACCCAGGCTCTGAAGACCCCAATCTCCAGTTTCTTCAGAGCTTCATTTGGGCTGAGATCGCTTTCCTAGGATTAGGAACATTTATTTTGCTGGGAGGATGGAGATTGCAGGTTGCAGTTTGAGGAAACAGAAAACGTGCACAGCGAAGCTCAAACACAACTCCTGAGCCCTCCAGATCAAACCACACCAAAAGAGGGCATGTTAAAGGAAATGGGTGTCATAAGCAAAAAGAGGCTCATTCCAATCAGTTGCACACACACACTGAAAACTTCTGCCAAGCATCACAAACAACGCTGTGATGACTGAGTCTGCAGATGTACAAAACGGCAATTTGTAAGAACTGCACACCAATGCTACAGTACCTGGCTGGTTTGTGGCTTCTAAAAGCACAGCACATGTGGAAAAACAATCAAAGTGATGGATTAGGACAGGAAAGGAAAGCGAGCTTTGACAACTCCAGAATGCTCTTATGGAATAAAGGAAATATGACGTGAGGTATATATGCTATCTGTGAATACTGTTAATGGAACTTCTCTCTAAATTACAGCTTACTATAGGGTTTTAAGAAGGAATGGAATGTATCAGTCTCTTTAAATCTCATTGTAAAATCTAAGAAAGCAAGGGACAGCGGAAAAGCAAAGAGCTAGATAGGGCAGTGTTGGCCTACAAGCTACTTGCACACTGCCAGCCCTCTTCCGACTGAGGGCCCAAACCTGCTCACACGGGAGCTAAGGGAACTGCTGCCATTGACCTTCTACAGGGAGAGAGACCCTGCATTCTCACAGGCACTGTCACATTGTTAATGTGGAAGGATAAGGCAGAGTTACTTGTCAAGCTTTTCTGTGTTTTGACGCCAGTGAGTCATATCCTTTCTCCATCTCAAATTCTCTTGACTTCCAAATGCGCTCCCAGAAGGACTTCTCTCTGCAGGATAATATCAAAACAACAGCAGTCATCTAATGCTAATTTTTTCGCATGGGTAGCAACTCTAGATTTGTTCACAAGTGAGAGGTGACAGTAAACTGACTTCTTAAGAGCCCAAGGCTGTGGCCCTCACCCAAGAAAGATGTTAACATGGCTCCTAATTCTGTCACTGCTGAGTGAGGCAACTTCACGTGCAGCGGCTTTGTATGCAAGAGGGCAATGAGCAACGGAGACCACTTTGTGTGCCGCCGCGTGCCAGCTCACCATAGAGCTAACGGAGAGAGGCAGCTGAGACAACTCTAATCAGGGAGGCAGCTATCAGGGCTGGTAAGAGAAGCGCCTTCGTTGGACCACATAAGGAGCCTGTGTGTGGCAATCCTCAGCAGTCCGATATTGCTGTCCTCAACTGGCACACAGTAATGTTCTCAGGGTGGTTCCTAGACCCACCTTCCGACCTCACGGTCTTTTATGTCTTTATTCTCACTGCTGAGAGGGCAGGGGAATTTCAAGTAATAAAGGCAACCAGGCCAGATTAAGGAAAAAAAAAAAATAAACCAAAGGTTCCCATCTCTCTGAAGTGATTCATTAATTATGGCTCCAAAATATTTACTCAGCTTAGCCTACAATGACTGTTTCACATGTGCCAGCACGCCTGTGGCAGAGTAGGAGACAAAACCACAGTTCTGATTCTTGTCCTAAGCCCTGGGCCATCCTTCCTCCCAAACAACACAAACAGCAAAAATCATCAGAAGGTGCTTGTTACCCCAACCACTGGCTATTTCAAGCCTCATTAAGTTAGCAGAAATAGCCAGGCATTTTCAGAGCTATCAAAGCAAGATCAGGCAGTTTGTTTTCCACTCTGATCCTTGCACAGGACACCCTAGAAGGCGTCTCTGAAAGGTGCTACACTGGAAGAAGTTCAGGCAAGAACACCCCATAAATGAGACATGATCACATGTACACTAAAGCAATCAAGTAAAAAACTGCCTGTAGATGGTAAGTTCCATCTACAGGGAGTTTATTTAGGAAAAGTGTAGAAATTCTGCAGACCCAGTGAAGCATGCTGCAAACAGCTTTTTCTAGGGGCTCCTTTGTTTGAAAATCCTGATGGGTAGTATCCCACACCATGGATGGGTGTAAGTAATTGTTGGGGATGGGAGTAGCGGATTTTGGAAAAAGGGGACCGCCCAGAAGACTTCTTTACTCACCTAGCTGTCCTCTGCTTCTTCGGACCATTTCCTGCCTTGCCCCTATGCTTCCCAAAATAGCTTCTTCAAGTTTGGCTCTCATGTCTTTCGACTTCTTGAATGTCAGGCTGTTCATTCTTTCAAATACTTTCTTGCCCTGCAAGTTTCAAACGAGACCATAAGGGAAGATTCTTTCAATGTGGGATATTTTCTAAGCATTAACAACTCAAAATATCTTTCCTGTTTAAAGACATACAGCAGGAAAGGAATATAGGTTTTGTTGCTAGCTAGACAATCTACCCAGACTCCAACATCGCTACAGAAAACTCTCTTCTTGTTGATAGTAAGCAATATGGCCAAGAGTTATCCCCTTTCCCTGCAGCAGTTCCCAGATGAGTAGCAAGCAGCACGAACTGCTTCAGAAGCGAAACAAGGCACAGACATTTCCATGGCTGAAAAGTAAACATGGAAAAAGGCTAGAGGCTGCACAGAGACTTGCTCAGCCTTGGGATTTTGAATACAGGAAATACTTAGGAGAAAGCAGGAAATGCCTTTCTGCAGTCGTGTAAAGAATGGGGGTATAAAGTTCCTCGGCAGGGCCTAGAAGGAACTTCAGGAGGTTTAAACAATATAGCAGTACCTTGTACTCAAAGCAGGATACACAAAGATAAAGCAAATCCAGCAGGCGATTGAGCTGCAACACTGACAGGTCTGTGAACCATTTCTGCAAGACGCTTTCATCCGCGTTCTTGAGCACCCACAGGAGACAGATCAGAAGGCTGCGGCTGGACTCTGTTGAGAAGGTGGAGTGCTGCCTGCCACCCTAAAATAGACAAGTCAAGACATTTGCCACATGGTATTTCACATCCATACACTTCAGTCATCACCAACAGGATCTGCATCAGCTACCACCCCAGCCTAAATAATTACCAAATAGGAACAGAAGGTGAATAGGCATTTTTAACTAACAACCAGGAGAAGACACACATCTCTCTTTCTCAACCCAACAGCCCAGTGGAACCCACAGATAGTCAAGCCACAAGAGAGAAGCAGCAGTTTGAACCAAAATAATCACATTGTCTGAATGAGTTTCCGCTCAGGCAGCAAATACCAACTTCCCTCAAGGTGCCTTTAATAACCTCCAGCAGGTTAACAGTTAAGCAGAGGGTGTCCGTTCACTATCTCAGGTATGTATCTGTGTCTCACTTTAAGTGCACATAAAACCCAGCAAAATGGGGTCCTGATGCAGGAGTAAAGGGAGGAGCAGCGAGAAATGGAAGGGCCTGCCTGCTACTGGAATCAGGAGGACTCCCTCCCTGTGCAGAGAACAGGGAAAGGGCCCATTTATGTCTTCAGCTAGGTGGGATTTAGATGGGGTGGGAGTTTTTGCTTAGGGCTTAGAGCTCATAATGACCAATGCACTCCACACAGCTTTTATCAGGTTGTTTCAGAAAAAGAGAACCCTTATCAGAAACGAGAAGTTTTCCATTTTCTGAGGTTTGTTGATTTTTATCCCCGCTTGGCATTTTCTTATACCTTCTCTGAGAGAGGCACAACAACATGCAAACGAGATCTGTTTCCCCCTTGTCTTTCACCCTCTGCCTCCCTGTGTAACACCCAGCTGCAGGCTGATACGATTCCCTACCACATGATCAGCCCCACAGGACCCGCACGCGTAAATATTTGCTTGTTGACACAGACTGAGGGTCAAGGAATAGGGAGAGATGGCTTCGTACCGATGAGGCGAGTAGAAAACTGCTGGGCCGGGTGAGCTGAGGGACCGATGTTCCTGCGATGGCCATGGCAACCGTCTGGCTTATCATGCTTCCACCCTCACTTTCGTAATCATCAACAGCGACGCAGCTCGGCCTCCCTCGCTGATTGTGACTCTCTGCCAGGAAACACACGCATCTAGTCAATCCCCAAATTCAAAGTTTCTCTCCCCAGCCTCCCTCCGCAGTGCTAGTTTCACTGAACTGTCTGGGAATGCAAACTGAAAATCATCACGCTCACGGGGTCCTGCGAGTAAGCAGGATTATTATTTGAGGTCACGCAAAGCAAAGAAAACAACAATTTTCAAACACAACCTACACAACCTCAGTATCTAGGATCCTTCTGAAAAGAGACCTTTTGTCCCTTTGAATACTTCACTGCAAATCCTTACTTGCAGCTTTATTGTGTCATTAAACTCAAAGGATGTAGATGACAACTCCAAATTCCAAACTATTCCCAATTGGACTCCCTGCCCTGGTTTGAAATAACCCACCCCTGCTGCTCCTCAGGACACTTTGCAAAGCACCCCTGAAATGAAAAGCTGATGGAGCACACACTAAGAGGAAGAAAACGAACTCTGCTTATCTTTTGGAACTGTTATGAGAATTGTACAGTACGTGGGGTGACTTTTTAAGCAGGTCAGACACAGAGGAAGGTTGGCTACGCATATACGGCATCCAGCCAGATGTAAACTAAAATGCATTGCTCATTTTTCGCTTCATGCAAACAAGTGGGCAAACGCAGCTTTTGAGTGTTAACAGTCATTGAAGATACACGCTGCAAATGCAGTTTAGGAAATGGATGCAAAAACATGTCGAAGTTATAATTCAGAAATAGAAACTATTTCATCCAACAGTAAGGGGCTCTGTAGTTCAGTTTTAGAACCCAAACGTTCGAGTCTTGTGAGCAGATGAATGTATATTGAAAGCGCAGAATATAAAATACCTGTGAAGTCATAAAGCTGAGGCACGGTTTCCATGATCACGCCAATCAGAGGTAGATAGAGCATTGCCACCCGGGCCTTTACCTGCGGGTCAGCGTACCGCGGATCCGAGTCGTGACTGGACAGTAAATTGTGTACCATATTGATGACCTTCTTATGCAATCCAAATAAACTGTTAAAAGAGAGTTGGGTCACACAGATTAGTTAATATCTTCAAAGCAAACTATACTTTGTAACTAAGGGGCTTCCAAAAAGAAAAAAAATCTGGGTTTTATTTTTAACTTCACATAAACTGCCATTACATGGATTTTTTGATCTCCCATGTATTTTACAAATGGCTGGTTTTCACTATGCCATATAAAACGTACAAAAAATATCTTGGGGAGCTGCACACCCAATATAATGTGAACACTTTCATATTTTCCATACAAAGCCCCAGCTCCTGCTATTGCTCAAGTATCGAGTCTCCTAAAGACCGTTAGAACTTAGAGAATATGGAAAACAGGGAGAGACACTTGAGAGGACAGTGGGTTTAGTGAAACTATTTGTTCTTTTTTTGTTTCTATTGAACACCATTTAGAGAGAGAAAAGCCCTCCTAAGATAGAACATTGCTTTTATCAAGCAATCAGGACGTTCCTGCTTCAGTTCCCCGACTTCCCACGTAATTATTCAACCAAATCAGTAGACAGATCAATAATTCGGAATAGAAAGTGTCAAAGAAATGGAGGGTAGAAGGAAAAACAGGAAAAAATGGCTTTCCTCATTATTAAGACGCAAACGATGGCAGGGCCCAAGCACCATCCCCTTTTGCAGGGCACCCTGCGGGAGCCTGCTCGGCGCTCGTGCCTTGAAAACACAAACTCCCCTGAATCTCTCAAGAACTCGCTCTGCTCCTTTCAATTCCCTCAGCCACCACGCAGAGAGGCAAAACTCTCTCAGAGCAAATAGCGGGTATCTCCGGAGCTATTTGCTTCCGTAGGCAAACCAGGCCAAGAAGGCAACTTTACCCCATGCATGAAGCAGCCAAGGAAGCTCATACATTATGCAGTAGCAAAAACATAAGCTTCAATGTTCAGACCTCAGGTATTAAAACAAGTGCTGAATTTCAGGCAGTATCCACTTTACCTGAAAAGTAGAGTTGAGTTCTGGTTAAAAAACAGACGAGAGGCCTTGACTGGATTGTTGGGGGGTTAAAATTATTTAAAAGACCCCAGTAGAGGTTAGGAGGACACTAGCTAGTTGTACCTCCACATCTTTCCTGTGTTTTTTTAATCAAGTCATAATGAGATCCTACAATTGCCTGTTTGTGTAATTAGTGAGACCCTTAACAACTAGGAAATGCTTATTTAAGTGACTGATTCCCTCAGATTAAGGTTAAAGAAAAGTCTTTGTATTATTTTGAAGGAGTGGCACCTAAGTTGGGTTTCTAACAGCTCAAGAGAAACTATCCTGCAGGCCACAGAACCGCGTATAGGGAAAACACACCCAAACGAAGCAGCGTAGTTCAAACCTAGGGCTACGTGGATTTCTTTCTCACTTTTCCAGAACAGAGCAGGTACCGAGGCAGATCGATCCATAGCAAAGAGGAGGAAATACAGCCCACTAATCTTTCTGGCCGATAACGCAATGAATTGATCTTGCCGCCCTCCAACCATCCCCTCTCTTATCTCAGCCCTGGCCTGAATTTGTGTCAACACCGCACACTTTTGGAAAACTGACTTTTGTCGCCGAATACTGAGGGCCAAATTCCGATTTTCTCACTTCTGTCCTGCAACATCAGCCAACATGGGCAACATGGGCGCTATGAAACGAGGAATATGAGTTAATAACCAAAGCACCACAGCACTGTTTGCAGAGTCAATCTGTTCGGGGTCTAGCTGCTTGGACTCGCGCTCTGTAACTGTCACATCCCGCTGCCTGCCTTCATCTGCACGCTGCCTTCTCTTTTAGACTGGAAGTGCTCTGGAGGAGGACTGTAAGGTACCGTGTTACTGTACAGCACAGAGGGATCTATCTAACACAACACCTTCAGGCACCGCAGTCTTTTCTGCCCAACTCAGTCCAAAGAGTTCTTACAAAACGGGTGAGCTAAAATTTAACATATTTTGCTAATGGAGCAAAAAGAGCAAGGCCAGAACACATTTAAGGCTCTGTATCACTATCGAGACCTAAGGAGAAGCTCCAACACAATAAGCAACTAGAAGGACATCCCTCTCCACTCCTGCTGCAGGATAATGTAACTGGGAACAATTCTGAGCTTTTTCCAATGGTGGCCAAAACATTTTAATGGCAGGCATGCCCGAACCCCCTACTAATAACCTGCTGATGGTAGTATATGATTGTTAAAAGTCTTCAGGCAAGGGAAAAGCAGATCTGAACAGACTGGTTTTACTTTATACGGTGGATCCACCAGGGCAAATGCAGAAGGTTGAAGCCTGAGAAGAGCTAATAAGGTGCAAACTACAAGTCATTCTGGAAAAAATTAAAAAACAAAAAAAGCGTTACTGGTACACGCCTCCACCAAAATTCACGTGCTTTGTTCAAAATGCATCTCCAGAGCTGAACTGGTTATCGGGGGCTTTTTCTGTCTAGACAAGGTTTGAGAGAGGAGCCGCCTCCCCAGCGAGCACCAGCAAGATTATGCCGATAGCTCCTTCATGCCGCTGGGCAGAGATTACCATCCTGGTCCAAGCTTAAGTGCTGAGAATAGCAAGGTGAGAGGGCTCAAGAGACAGGTGAGAACAGAAAGTTTGTGAAGAAGGGCAAATCAGGTCCAGTGACAGGACCTGATTTCTAACCAGTGAGCAGGATGTTCCTACGCTACAAAACAGGTTTCTGCAGACAGCGTATATAGGTAAAGATCTGCTGCTTTTTCCATTTCAGGCCAAACAAATGGGACTGCAGTGTGTTATGCACATATACAAGAAAATATTCTAATTTATGGCATCACTTTCTTCTGCAACAGGAAACAGAATGAATGTTTAACTCCTGAGACCTCTTGGTAAAGGGGCAGAATTAACCATGAATCATCAGCATTTGTCGACTCGGCTGATATTTTCGAGTCCACCTTGAGAAAAATGCCTGCAAGAGAACTTAGGACTGTGGAAGCAATCAATAATTTCCATTGAAACCCATTTTAAAGAGGCAAGGCAGAATACAGCCCTAAATAACACAAGTAACAGACTGGATGTCAGGACTATAGGCTACACTCCTTCAGAAAATTATTTGCTGCACAAGCCAGGCAAGTCACCGACAAACTCTGCATGCTTGACTCTATTTGTCTATTTATGTAACCCGCAGGGGCCTCATCAATGCATAATTTATGTTTAAAAAGAGCTGGGAGGACCACAGGCGAAATACATCGTAACATTTAAAACCACCAGCAAAAGAGACTTCCTAAATGTTGAAAATGATTTTCTTGTTACAATTGAGAAAAGCTATTTTCCCCTTAGAGCTCCAGCAGTGCCCCTGTGGCATCTGGGGGCTCCAGCAGGAACCTCTTT